CCCCAATACCTATAGATACCATTGGGTATCAATAAAACCATATGAACCCCATGTGTAAAAATCATGAATCATGAATAATATAGCTTCGTCATGCAGTCAATCTCAATTCAAGAGCACGCGTCTCGTAAACACTAGCGTGCCCCAACCACTACCTCGATAGCAGGATTAACCAACCATGATCCTGACATCTCAGGTCGTAAAATTTAGTAGTCCGTACCATAAGTTCAGTCCCGTCGAAGAAAGTCTCTAGGACGCGAATGTCGTTACGCTGAAAAGTATGACCTGGATGGAAAGAGTTTAGACAAGGGGCTCTAGGGATCATGTATCGCAGCTGGGCATTTCCGAGATATAGTATGTATGTATGTATCTATATACGTACAGGCGCGACAATATGCGGACGGAGTGACTGTGTGTTGAGCCGTCCGAGCATCACATCGATTATGACGAGGAGTAGTTCTTCGTGGAGGAGATGGTGGGGTTCGGTTGTGATGATGCTGCTGCTGCTGCTGCTATACATGAGGACCTTCATGTGGGGATGCCTAGTGTCCGGCATATCCCAAGCTGCTTGGATTTCCCATTTGGGGTTTCCGGATGTGTTCATTAACGGTGCGAAGTTGAAGTCCCCGTAACTGTACACCACAGCAAAAGAAGACATACACACAGATAGAAAGCTAATAGATAGAAAAGGGAGACTCACTCAGCATTAGCCGAAGCAGGGGTCTTCATCTTCAACTCCCTCTCCGGTAAAATACAATTCTGGAAATACTGAGTCAGATAGCCACTTAGAGAGAGCGTTTCGGAAAGATGACTCGTCGAGGTTAGGGTAGTATGATGCGATGGTGTCTATCTCGGGTGGGTGGATTGGGGCATTGTAGGGGGTGAAGTAGTTTGCCATTATCCTCGTCTAGAGGCATTGGAAGGGGTTGGGTTTGTAGCTGCTTTAAGGTGGAGAGTGAGAGGTTTGTCTGGTAGTGCTTTGAGGGAAGAGAGGATATCTATGGTGATGTGATCCATGTTTATGGTTATCAGAGACTGAGGTAATAAACGGTGGCTTTATTCTAGGGGAGAGGATCTGAGAGAATATTTGAAGTCAGACTGATGATTTAAGATAGTAAAGATGGGTATAGGTAGGAAAGGGATGTTGATGTTGATGCATGTATGAGTGTTGCTCGGCAACTATCGAATTGAGGCACTGCTATTATCTTGTATTCTACGTTGTTAACTATATACCTTGTGTATGTATGATATGTAGGTAGTAAGTATGTTTGGCGAGAACTATTCTGCAATTAGCTTGAGCACGGGAGTATCCTACTCTAATAGAAGGGTATCATATGTGAGGGTCAAAGAAAGGAAGTAGAGTAATAGTTTTATAGCAGCAGACCACGAGAAAGAAGTCTATCAAAAGAATACATTTATCAAGAGTCTATTAAACCACTAAGATTGAAATAAATAGTAAAAATCCAGACTAAAATATGTAAATGTGAATAGATATCCCTTTCCCTTATTTGACTGCTCTCACGTCCAGGCATACATCACTGCCTGCAGTCCAGAATGGAAATGGAATATGATGGTGGACAGGAAGAAGGAAAGAAGGGAAGAGACAGAAAAATGACAGAAGAGAAAGGGAAAGAATAACGAAAAAAGTCAACCAAATATAGACAGGAAAGGAGAAACCAATAGTAAAGTGAAGTAAGGTAAAAGGACGCCTGATGACTGTAGTAGGGAGTAGAAAAAGAAAGAAATGAAGCAATTTGTCTTCCTTGAAATTTTGTGACAGATCTAGCCACAATACATTATGGAAGTGTATAGAAAATAAAAAAATAAGTAGGTAGGTGGTCGCTGCAGATGGCCCAAATTGCTCAGATCGAATGTCTAACCTGTTAGCAGACGGAAGAAAGAAGAAGAAAGAAAGAAAAAAAAATTGATTAAACGGTTATGTGGCGGAATCAAATCGAAAAGGCTATTAAAGGTAATTCGCATAGTCAAACGTCTGAGTGCCGTACTTTGCCCTCATCGGATCAGCGGAGCTGCTGGCTGTGGCGCTGGTCGAGTCGGACGGAAACGACGCCGGGAGACTCATGCTGGATGTGTTTGCGTGGCTATATGGCATGGCCGCGTTCATGCTGTAGGGGTGGTGTTCGTAGGAGTAAGGTCTGTAGTCTGTTGCTTCGGAGACGGGGATCGACTGGATGGAGGGGATCTGTCGTCCTTGGGATTGCATCTGGGAGCCAATCTCCATCCCGTTGTATCCTTTTGGGGCGGGCATTGTGAGGGGTGGTTGGTAACTGTGTACTGGTTGATCTGTAGACAATACATTAGGTTGGTTGGTATGTGGGTAGGGATTTTGAGGACGCACTCTGGCTGTCCACGCTGTATGGCATGGATTGTTCCGGCTGCCCCGTGGGTGATACGGAGCCTTCCAACGGCCGCTGCTGGTCGTATCCCACCACCATGCCGTTTGCCGGTCGATGCATGGTGTAGTCTACCGGACGTCGTGCGTATGGCAGCCCATGATACCCAACAGAGTCTTGCCGGTACCGCCCAGGGAAATGCAACCCAGCGCTGAGCGACGCCTCAGAGAAGCTGCTGGATCGGGGATAGGGGAAAGTCCCCCGGTTGTTTCGATGTAGGTCTGTCAAAGACCCCGGGGCGCGACTCGCAAGCAGGCTGGCTGAGGGATATGCGTCGATGCTTCTGTCAGGGCCCGCCGACGAGAAACCGTGCCCGGTCGTAGACGCAGAGCTCAGGGGGGAAATCACATAATCGTCATCGTTGAGTCGTTGTAGGCCGTCCGTCATCAATACCTTTGACTGTTAGCTAGGTTCTTGTCTTTCTTAATTCACGGGATGAGAAAGAAAACTCACCGGCCCATCCGACGATGACTTTCCTTCAAAAGGCGTCCGTAGCACTTGGGTTGTATCGAAATCATCCGGCAAGGCCCGAGATTTCAACATGCGCTCCCGGTCGTTGCTGGTGAGTCGCTTGAGCTTTGCTCGTCTGTTGAAGTCAGTCTCCGTGCACCAGTCCTGCATGTACTAAATTCGAGACGTACCGGTTCTGGAACCAGACCTGCACCTGGCGTGGGGTCAACCCAGGGATCTCCCTCGATAATCGCTCCCGATGAGCAGCATCGGGGTGTGCTTGTCGGGTGAATTCACTCATCAAAAACCGGGTTTGGTTGTGCGTCAATCTGTTGAAGTAAAAGTCAGCTACATTCACCACCGCCGACCGTCGACTTTTGGCTCTACCCACCGGAATCTCTTCATCTTCTTCTTTTCGAGTTTCGAATCCGCCGAGTGTCTCTTCTCTCCAGGAGATGCAGCACCGTCGTCGGAAGAATCCATCGCGTCGCCATCGTGGAAGGCGTCTGCTAGTTCGTCCTTGCTTTGCCGTCTGATCGTGGGGGTCGCCTCCGGGGCTGGGATGTGACTGACACCCTGTTTCAGGGCCTCCGGCCCGGTTTGGGAGCTGGAGCCTGCAGCTTCTGGGTGTTGAAGGCGCGCATCGCCCTTGGGGACTTCAGCCCCCGGTTGTCGGATGGGAGTGGATGTGCCCGCACGATTCGCCGCAGTCAAGACGTTCTCAGCCTTGATCACCGCCGGATGCATGGCGGCTGGGGACGGTTTCGACGGCTCGCCGTCTTTCTCCCACCTCCCGATCGACTTGGATGGAGTCACCTTGGGTCTCGACGGGGCCTGTTCACTGTTCCAGGAGGCCGTTGGCCAGTTACTCTGGATCCCAGACAGGTGAGAGGTCACTGGAGGCGGCAGCGAGGACAACCAGGCACACGGTCCACTGATTGACATGGTAGAAGCGACTCTGTCTGTTTCTCCTCTGGTGAGGCAAGTTCGCGAAGAAGTCTCAAATGCCGATACGATGCTGGATCAATATTTGGCACATTCGAGACAAGAATGTTGAAGACTGGACGGCGATTCAACCTGGTAGAGTGCCGGATTACAGTCGCCCAAGAGATTTCTTTCCACCCCCGATGAAAGTTTCCAACCGTGATGAACGTGACGAAAAGAGAGAATGAAAACAACGAGGCAGAGGAAGAGATAGGCTGACTGACTCAGTGACTGGGGTAGTAGTAGCAGCGAGTTGGTGGCAAACCACGTCGAGAGATATCAATGCGTTCTTCCCTCTTCTCCTTTTTCTTGATTTTTATTTTTTTATTTTATTTTTTTTTTCACCCTTCTTAATTTGCCCCAGGCAATGAAAAAAACGGATTCACAGTATCAGCTCACACCAACAGCCTAGGTTAGGAATGAGGGTCGATCAGGTTGCTGGGTCCAGAGAATGGCCGGGGGGTGCTGGAAGTGGGGGGCTGGAGAAGACAGACGGCTATGGGCGATATTAAACAGTTGCTGAGCCAAGCGGGTACAGCAACGAATCACGGCGAGTGGGGATCACACAGAAGCGGAATAGGAGGAGAGATGAATGGATGTTCCAGGTTGGCTAGTCAGGGTTCTGCTAGAGATGCAGGTTGGAAGGAGCCGTGGGCATTCCGTGCTTGATGGCCGGCCACCAATCTAAATGTACACCCCACGATCTTCCGGTGGATACCAATGAGGGAGCTGAAAGGATTGGAATGGTACGACGGTAGGGAGGGAGAGATAGGGTAGAGGAGGAGCGAAGGGAGAGCAGGGGAGGAGGGAAACAAAGGGCTGGGAAAGTACAAAGTAGGGCTCAATGCGCTTGGGTCGGCGAATAGAAGGGATGGGGAATATTGGTATGGATGACAATCTCCGAGCAAGACGCGTTCAGATGGACCAGATGAGTTAATGAGTAGAAGGGAGAAGACAAGTGAGATGGACTGGAGGATCGATCTGGCCAGTCTCTAGGGGATCTGTGTGATGGAATGAGGATGGAAGCATGGAACGTCAGAGCTTGTTGACAATTGACAGGAGTGGTCGTGAAACGAGAGACACGATCGATATCAAGATCGTCTCATGGTTGTATGAAAAACGGGGGGGGAGGATAGAGGAGGATGAGGTCTGACAATGAGACTGATAATAAGAGAATGCAAATAATCCAGAGAAAGTAGATAGTAGGTAATATCAACAATGGCCTTGATGAGTGGCGAGCTGAGTGAGAACAACTCCACCGTAAGGAAGAGAAAAACAGAGAAGAACAGTTTAGGAAGGAGAATTATGCGAATGATAAGAATTCAATTATCATAATATCCAGGAGTAAAATGAAGGATCAAATACTACGTTGCTCTTACTCGCTTCCTGTTCCCTGACAAAGGATTCTTCCAGACAAGCGGTTCCTAGACTTGATCATTGTCCGTCAATCAGTCTGGGCTGTCTGGACTCAGGACTGTCTGGCCAAGACGCGCATCACATCGCATCGCATCTGGCGGGTCCGATGTCGTTGAGGATATCCACCGTCCACACTCCACTGTCTTATACTCGGGATATGGATAGGGACAACCAGGTAGAATCCTACACTACCGCGGTTTACTAGTCATGGTCATAATTATCTTATGCATAATTAATTATTTTTCATTTACTATTTATTGACTATTGATTTTCTGATTATATTTTCTATTGATTTGTTGATATATTAGAATTTTCTCCGGATATTCCTAACTATACAATCGGTATTATCCGGTCCAGAACTGTTAACCAGATCCTCCTCGCCACGAGAGATCCATGGTCCAGGACATAGCAGGACCCTCAGGGTTTGCGGAGAAAACACGAACTTCATATTTTTTTTTCTTCTTGTTTTTTTGGTTATCTTATTATTTATTTATTTTATACAACAGAAAAAATAAATATTCTAGAGTATAATCAAGCCAGAATCTGAACCGAGCGTGACGCCAAGGAGTCGTCCGTGGATTTCGACTCAGGCAGCAACCTCTGATTGGATGCCTGCAGGCCACGAGATCGAGGTTGAAACAGACCATGTCACGGTTACCTGTCCATCCATCATCCATCTTCCATCTTCCTTCTCTCCATCTTGTCCTCTGTTTGATCTAAGATGAGAGGGTCACTCACGATGAATCATGAGGAGTCCAACTGTGGAGTTTGTCTCTGATTCTTCGTCTGTCGGTTAACAGAGTCCTGACCATCCTACATCCCAGCAATATACGATCATATCCAATTCTTCAGTCCCTTATTGTCTCGATATACAATTAATATTCTAAAATCATCACAATCGAATCGGAGAATTTTTCATTGAGGGGTTCCTGTCCACTCCCAGTCAGTCCACTGGGCTGCAGAGTATAAAGCTTCGGTATTCCACCCCGATCCTGATCCTCTGCTGATGGTCGGATTCACTAGTCGACACTAGGGAGATAGTCCCCCCTCCTGTTTCGAATCAGAATCCTTCGCCGTCAATCGCCGTATTGCTCGGATTTCTTCTTTTTTTTTCTTCTTCTTTTTTTTTTATTCTCCTTCTTTTTTTCCTTTCCCCCCTTTTTTTCCCCCTTCTTTTTATTATCTATTTGATATCCCTATCCCTATCCTACAAACCATGGAGTATACCGAGTAGAGTACGTGCAATGAGGTGGATTCTGTGGATACATTGAAGAATAATGAAAAGTGGGTGCACATCGCATGATGCAGACTCAAGCAACGGTGCGGGGAAGAAGATCAGGCGTCGATGATCGAGAAAGCAACCAGTGTTGATCACGATACGACCACGATCATGATAGACAATTAGTTCTTCTATCTTCTTGAAGGGAAGATGCTTTCTTCTTCTTTTTTTTTTTTCTCCCTCAAATCCATCGTGTCTGAAATGTCTGTCTGCCTTGGTAAGGGAATGGACCGCCTCGACCGTGGCCATGACCGTGACCGGTGGAGACAGCGTCCCAACAAATGATCCGAGCCATTACGCAAGCCTAGGGCGAAGTTCGGCTGCGAGATTCGGATGAATGATCCGGATCTGAACGGCGATCTGTACTACTACTACCACCACCTACTTTAGTCGGTGGTGGTGGTAGTAGTAGTCTCCGTAGGGTGGTAGGCACTAGGTAGTGCACTAATAGAGTAGGAGGAGAGAATTGATGAGGTACGGAGTACGGAGTAGAGAACTAATTGATAATGAATAATAGATAATCAATAACATAATGATTATAAGATAATATTGAAAATGAGAAAGACTAGAATATACTGCAGTCCTGACCATCCCATAATCTTAACATCCATGTAATGACGTATCAGTCAGTCTACCTGTCATCTCCTCTTTTTTTTTACTTTTCTCGTACATTTATTTTATAGATTATGTTAGAAAATATGAAATATTGCATGTATTTCTTCATCTCCGACAGGTTCCTGAACCATTGTCCTAGCGTGTCTGGTCTGTGCGGGTCTGAGGCCACGATGAAACGTCGTCTACTATTTGCTTCCATGGATCTTTTCTTTTTTTCTTTCCACCTCCAGTATACACAGTGGCCTTTCTTTCTTTCTTTTTTTTTTCTTTTCCCCTTGTCCCCTCCTTTATCCATATGAGTAAGAAGACCCATACCGGTTTACGACACCGTCCGTTCGGGTCCATCTGGTCTGAGACCTGAGACCCTTTTTTTTTTCTAGTCTTGCCGAGGCTGACTGGTTCTGTTGACCTTGTGCCTGGTGGAGGACCGTATAGAGTACTATACCTATTGACTGTTGGTTTGTTGGGATACGATGTTGCTAGTATTCTGTAGTTGGCTGGGGTGTCTACTAGGTATAGAGCCTGGGAGGTATGCAAGTGTTCGGTAGATTTATTAGAATTGCATTATCGTGAGTTAACCATAGCAATGCCCATAGTAATGTTATAGTAATGTTATAGTAATGCCATAGTAATGCCATAGCCACAACAATGCAATAGAATGGCATAGCATAAATTACCATTCACATCAGATAAAATAAATATCCCATGATCATAACAAAGACACTGCCTGTCACATCAGGTACCCGCGAGTATCAAGTCACCTGTCAACTGTCAACTGTCAACTGTAATGTTAATTAACTGTCACTGTCAACCGTATCACCGACATCTCTCCCCTACTTCATTCAGTTCAGCCAGTTCAGTCCAATTCACACCTTGTCATCATGATCCAGACTCATCTCTGGATGGGTTGATGTCTTTACCCGAGGTTTTATTTATTTTTTTATCTCTCATTTTTATTTTCCATCGGTTGGATGTGAAACATGGCGTATCAGACTCTTTCCCCCCCCTCTCGCCATGACACTTGTTAATCTCGCCAGCCTTCTCTGCTTCCTTCTTTCCGAGGTCACCACTGACCTCAGTCTCACCATGACCTACATACATATCAGGTAGGTAGAGGATACACCCATTACTAGATTTCTATCCTCCGTACTAAGTCTCTATGTACATCATGATAATTCAATGCAGGTCCATGTAATTAAAGTTGCGGATCACCGTCCGTCCTCCTCGGTACTACCTCTGAGCTTATTCGCTCGGTTCCTCTCGCTCTCTGCTCTCCCAATCTGGCCCTGTGCAGCCCTCGTTGAAACTGTTAAATTCCCCCGACTGGGCGTCTGTCGATGTGGATTGTCCACTGGCCTTCCAATTTCCCTGGAGCCCTACCGCTTGCTTTTTTTTCCTTGTTTTCCCCTGTTTTCTTTTTGATTGTCTGGTTTCTTTCGTTGTTTTGCTATTTACCCTTTTGACGCTATTCTCTGATGTCGCCAAATGAAACCCTGCTTTCCCCCCCCTGAGCGAGGTAAACCCGTATATCTCCCCCCCCCCCGTGTATCCGTATCGTGTCCGAGAGTTCCGACAGGCGGGGAAATTTTGGAGATTGGGGACTTGGGACGAGGGAAATCATGATACGGTCTCGCCACACATCCGCTAAGAACCAGGCTGCGCGCCAGATGAGAGTGACCAATCACCAATCAGACAACACCCCTGTCTCCACCGTATTCTCCATCCTCCCTCCTCGTGATATCTAACGCCATGGCTCCCTCGAAACCGGTCCCCCTCCAGCCGCCAGTCGGTCCTGGCGGTCTGTCTGGTCGCTTTCGGGCCCATCCTGCATGTCGCTCGTTAGCGTCGCCATGACGGCGCATCCATCGCAAACGACCCCTTCAGGTCCGACGCGACACCGGTCGTCGGTGTTGGAGGCG